TTCATCAGTTGCATGTAACACCCAGGGCTCATTACATCACGTGCCCTCCTTAATGCCCATCCCCCGGTTACCCCATCCCCCCACCCACCTCCCCTCCAGCAACCCTCAGCTTGTTCTCTATAGTTAAGTCTCTTATGGTTTGTCTCCCTCTCTGATTTCGTTTTATTTTTCCCTCCTTTCCCCTATGATCCTCTGTTTTGTTTCCTAAATTCCACGTATGAGTGAGATCATATGATAATTGTCTTTCTCTGATTGACTTATTTCGCTCAGCATGATACCCCCTAATTCCATCCACGTCATTGCAAATGGCAAGATTTCATTTTTTTTTTTGATGGGTGAGTAATATTCCATTGTGTATGTATACACCACATCTTCTTTAATTGGAATCATATCCTATGTGACCTTTTGTGTCTGGCTTTTCCCACTTTGCATAATTAATGTTTTTGAGGCTCCCTTAAATTGTAGTATGTACCCAGCACTCCACTCCTTTTCATGGCTGAAAAGTACTCCATTGAGTGGAATATTTTGTTTCTCCATTCACCTGTTAATGAACATTTGGGCTGTTCCCATTTTTTGTCAACTAGGAACAAAATCAACATCCATTTTTTAAAAATTAACTCAGATCATCCATTCCTTCACTCGCCCCTCTGCAGGGATGGACGTTTGGGTCAGTTATGGGGCTGAGACGCCCTGGGCAGTGTGTCAAGAAGAGAGCCAGGGCAGGATCAACCTTGGTCATGGGAAGTGAGGAAGAGACACAGCTTCTCACATGTCAGCTTGTCTGACAATCACTCTGTTTCACCTTCAGGTTTCTGGGCCCTGCAGTAGGCCTCCCAAACTAGCCAGACAGAAGGGAGATACTCGGTCCTCTTTTAAAAAAAAATGTATTTCCTTCTTAGCTCTTTTCGCAGAAATTGTCATTGTTATTGAAATGCTTGCTCCCTTGAGCTTCTCCGATTATTTAGCAAAAATTTGGGTCGCTTTGGTCTTAGCAACACCTGGCTTGGAGGATGGGCTTCACACAAGCTTTCCCATAGTGCATTTGATTGATTGGGCTTTACTTTTTTTTTTTTTTTAAAGATTTTATTTATTTAATTGACAGGGAGAGAGAGAGAGAGACAGCATGAGAGGGAACACAAGCAGGGGGAGTGGGAAAGGGAGAAGCAGGCTTCCTGCCGAGCAGGGAGCCCGATGCGGGGCCCGATCCCAGGACCCTGGGATCATGACCTGAGCCGAAGGCAGTCGCTTAACCAACTGAGCCACCCAGGCGCCCCAAGGGCTTTACTTTTTATTTTGGCAATAAAGAGGCAAGAAAAGGGCTTTGGGGGAACAGTGAGGCTCCTGCCATGTGCCCTAAAACCTGATTATGCATTCCTGTTCTAGGCAAAGGTGGGGAGAGGAAGGTGCTCGTTGTCTGCTCCTCATGCTTCTATCCCATGTCTTCAAGGCTGGTGCTGCTAGACTAGTTTTTGCCTTTATAAGAAGCGCAGTAGGAGGGCTTTGGGTATCTGTCGTCTGGGGTCATAAAGGGACTGGCTGGCAAGGACCTCCCTGTGGAGCTCATTACCTGAAGTCTTGGGCCCCCTTCTCACCACCTTCTCCTCCATAGCCTGTCCCCTCCAGGCCCTGCTTCTTAGGAGTAAATGAGGGTTAATCAGATGCGTGACTTCCTGCTACTGTATCAGCTAGTTAATGTCCCTGCATCCAGATCAAAAAATGCTTAACATTTAAAGGAGCTTTGTTAGTATTGAGAGTTTCAAGCCAGCCACCTACGTGGGGGGCAATTATTAAATAAGGCTTAATATACAATCCAGCGATTGTACTCCTTGGTATTTACCCAAATGAGCTGAAGAGTTATGTCTACACAAAAACCTGCACACACATGCTGATAATAGCTTTATTCATTATTCATAATTGCCGAAACTTGAAAGCAACCAGGATATCCTTCCGTAGGTGAATGAGGACAAACAAAATGTGGGCCATCCAGACAATGGAATATGATTCAGGGCTAAAAAGAAATGAGCTATCCAAGCCATGGAAAGACATGGAGGAATCTTAAAAGCATATCACTGAGTGAAAGAAGCCAATCTGAAAAGGCTGTGTGATCTCAACTGTATGGCATTCTGGAAAAGGCAAAAGACTATGGAGACTGTAAAGAGATCAGTGGTTGCCAAGGGTTGTGGGGAGGTAGGGATGAAGAGGCAGAGTACCCAGGATTTGGAGGGCCGTGAAACTACCCTCTAATGATACTGGAATGGCGGGTACCTATCTTTACGTATTTATACAAGCCCATAGGATGTACAGCGCCAAACCTGATCTCTAATGTAAACCATAGACTTCGGATGATAATGGCGTATCAATCTATTGCAACAAATATGCTACTGAGGTGTGGGGTGCCCATACTGGGAATTTGTGCAAGTGTGGGGCACAGGACTTCTCTGTACTTTCTGCCCTATTTTGCTGTGAACTTATAACTGCTCTAAAAAAAAAAAAAAAAAAAAAAGTAACCTATGCCTCCAAGGGCTATATTAGTTTCTTGTTGCCACTGTAAGAAAAATACCACAAATGTAGCAGCTCAAAAGGACATACATATGTGATCTGAAAGTCCTGGAGTTCAGAAGTCCAAAATGGTTCTTCCTGGGTTACAGTCAAGCCTTCCTTCCAGACGCTCTAGGGGACAGTTTGTTTCCTTGCTGTTTCCACTTTCCGGAGGCCACCTGTTGGTTCATGACCTTTCCTCCATGCTTCAGGCCAGCCCGGCAGCATCTTCCAGTCACTTACTGACTGTGACCTCACATCTTCTCTTTGACGGACCCTTCTTGTCTTCTCCTAAGAACCCTGGGATCACATTGGCTCCGCCCAGATCATCCAGGATAAGCTCCGCATCTCAAGGTCCTTAACTTCATCACAGCTGTAGAGTCCCTTTTGCCACGTAAGGGGGACATAGTTCCAGGTTTTGGGGATCAGGATGTGGCTGTCTTTGGGGGGAGGTCATCATTTTGTCTCCCACATACACCCTCTAAATAGCTTTTCTTTGGGCCCTGTTGTCACTTCGGACAGGCAACCTGGTTCTATTTCACGATTGTTCTTTGGTCATTTTTTTCCAGTTTATGTAGGAGGTCAGGAGTCTGGTGAGGAAAAGAAATGAAGGAAATCCAGTTGGGTCCTGGATTTCACTGGAAGGATAGAGAACGGTGATGCTCGAGGAGGAGCCCATCTGAATCATCCGGCATCCTCTTCTCTTTCAAGCATCCCAGCATCCCAGCACCCCTCCGTTGAGAGGCACATCTCTTCCGTTCTACCTCCTGTCACTTGTCCATGGGAACATTTTGTATTTCTTATCCGCAGGGGCAAGGAAAAAGTTGGCGTCCAGGGATGCGGAGGGATGGAAGGGGGCTTGGGCAGAAGAGGTTCAACTTTGTGTGGAAGAGGTGGATGGGGAGCTGACCTGAGGAAGTGCCCCCCCTGCACCCCCCCTTCCCCGCCGTGGCATCAACAAGGATGGGATGCAGGGAGGGATTGGAGGATGAGATGAGTGGCCTTCCTGCATGGTGCCGCCTTAGGGTCGCTGATGGTGGGGCTGTTTGTGAGGCCCTGGAATGTGCACACAGAGAGGTTGCTGGACAGGTGTGGGCAAGTCCTCCTCGGTGCAGAGTTTACCATGAACAGCAGCTCCCAAGGGCTCTTGAGTTCTAAAACCAGTGAGACAAGAGTCTGGGAAAGGGACGGGTTAGGCTGTGGCACGGGGAAAGAGCCCACAAACTTCCTCGGATGATCTCATGGAGCTGAACTGATGAGGCATTTTCTTTCTGGGAGTTTCTGAGGTAAATACAATCTTTCCGTGGGTGGCACTAAGACTTTTGCCGGGAGAATGGGGCCCACAGCAATGACTGTGTGTGGTTGATGGTTGGCAGAAGGAAAATTACTTTCTGCATGGATTTGTTCTTTATTGTTGCTTTTGTAATACCTGGTTCTGTCACTCCAAATGTTATTTTGGAGACAGGTGATGCAGATGTTTTTTTTTTGTTGCTGTTGTTTTTTAAGGCAGGGCATAATTAAATCATTTTTAGAAACCCATTCAACATTTTACATGTCAGTGATGACTGTCATATGGTTACGATGGGTAGTGGGTGTACTCTTGCCAAGAAGATGTCACAGCATCTTTAAGAGTAAACAGTCGTGGATGAGCGTTTAATTCAGTAAACACTGCAGAAGTTTTATCCAATTGACCTCACTGAGATTTGGGCTCAGCTTCATTTTTCTCTTCCCTTTCATGGTTCTGCCCTTATTCAGGTGATTATGGTGCTATTTGCTCAGGTCCGTGAATCTGCCATTTATTGGTGACGTGACCTCCTGCACATTATCTTATTACTTCTAGACTCAATTTCATTATCTGTGGATAGCAACAGAAAACAGCATCTGCCTCCCAGGGTTGTGGCAATGATAAAAGAAGATATCAAAGATCTATTTCCCTGGACATAGTAGGTGATCAATAAATATTAGTTCCCCTTCTTTCCTTTTAGAGATAACAAAGTTGGCAAGGCCAAGCTGACATTGATCAGCGGTTGTCTCACGTATCCTAGAGGAAAGATACCTTCTTTGGTGCTCCAGAGAGCAGACGTAGAGCTAACAGGTAAAAATAGAAGGGAGACAGATGTGTGTGACGCATGTCTACTGTGACAACCAAAAATGTCTCCACACATTGCCAAACATCCCCCAGAGGGTAGAGTGGCCAGCGGTTGAGACCCACTGAGTTAGAGGCTAGATGAGAGCAAACTGGACTCCATCCTCCCAAGGTCACCTCCATCCCGTGCCATATTAGGTTCCTGTGACATTCTGGTGGTAGCTTTGTGGTTTGAGAGAGTACTGAATGTTGAAGGCAAAAGGCCTAACACTTGTGTAGGGTTCGGTTTGGGCCACAGAGAGCAACTGAAGTGGGCACTTGGAAGGCCTTTTGGGGTTGTGGTTGGTTTAATGGCTTGTTCACTGTGGTTTTGCAGGTCATGTTAGCAGCTTCCTATTGGTCTCTCCTGGCCCCGGCCGTTGAGATGGCCACGTCCTCCGGGGGCTTTGGTGCCTTTGCCTTCTTCCCCGTGGCCATTGGCTTCACCCTCGGAGCTGCTTTTGTCTACCTGGCTGACCTCCTGATGCCTCACCTGGTGAGTACCACTCTTCAGACTTGACATACCCACTCGTGGCTCTGTTGAGTAGCCAGTGATATAGAAATAGATATTTCAAGCCATTTAGGGCTTTTACCTAGAAGTTTACCGTGAATTGGGACTTTTTTTTGTCCTAAAAGAAAATAAACTCTTGGTAATATGACTAATCATCCCCTTAGTTACGTTTTGCTAAGTTCAGATTTTAAATGTCAGATTTCATTATAAATAGAGAGCTCGGCTGACGTTGTACCGTGTGGCACTGTGTCTGAGCGGACCTAGCAACTGGGAGAAGTGAGTGATTATGATCATGGTCTTGACCCTTAGGAGCCTACACTGTCATCACGAAGATGATGACACACCCAACTATAGCATAAGACCATTGACAAAGCATCACATCGGCAAGGACTTATTAACAGGAGGATGAGGTGGGGACACTGGGCAGCAGAGCCCTGAGTTCAAGTTCACTTCTGCCGTTGCCTGGTTGTATGCCCCTTGGCTCTAGTCTTCCTCCCTATAGCTTGAGGATAACTCCCTTTAGGGGCTGCAAAGTAAAAATTTAAAAATCTAACAAGGCACCAGAATTGGGGGCAAATCAGAGATTTTAGGCTTTTTTGCTGAAATGGGGCTGGTGGGTTAGGTTTGGAGAATGACCGGGTGCTTACTTGTCCACGTGGAAGCATGATACGAACCACAGCCTGAAATCTGGCCATGAGATCGTAACCGAATGCCATTGGCTAAAATCAGTAGTGTGCATATGCTAGGTGTAGAGAAGGGTCAGTGTCTGTAAGAACCCAGTACAGAAACACAGAACCTTGCCCAACCAGCCCTAGAGGTAGGCAGAAGTCCTCTGTGACATCTGAGCTGGTGCTTGAATTCTCTGATCACCCAGAAAGAGAAGAGGCACAAGAAGGACGCTGTAGGGGAGAATGGGGTTGGAAGTCATTTCTTCTGTTGGACTGTGACGAGCTAGGATCAGGTCAGGCTCACTGGAGTCGCTGGACATCTAGCCCAGGACGTAGTCTGACATTCTCTTCCCTGCCTACCTGCCTTCTTTGCTGCTGTAAATTCCTGACGAAAGAGAAGGAAGGGTCCTTGGGAACTTGTCCTTGGGACCAATGAGAAACGGATTCCTCATGTCACAGAAGGACCAGCCTCTGGACCAGACAGCTGGATGTGACGGTTGGATGGAGAGTCACAACATTGTCTTGGCGGAAAGACCATGTGTCATTTTTTTCATCATAAGCTTGAATGTCAGTGTCGGTTTCTGGCCCCTGAACCCTTGGCTTCCTTGCCATTGATTATATCTGCATGATATGAACTTCGAGAGGTTCTCTGTGTGGGCTGCCATATTCGGCTCTTAAATCCACCCTGGTCATGTGTGAACTTGCCGTTGGGATGTATTCTACTTGCCCTGGCAGGAAGATCTTACAGCCGATGGCCTTACCTCTTGGAACAGCAGACCAGGGACTGGCTCAGCGGCTCTGCGTAGCCCCCGTTGGGTCTCATTCTGCCCTTCCTACCTGGGCCCCTCTGGCCTTCTAAGACTGTATCTTGTGGAGGGCTCTCTGCAATCACGATGGGTCACTGCTCACCAGTACTGGGGGTGGGGACGGGGACAGGTATATTTGATCAGCTGTCTGAATGTGGGGACTTTCTCTGGGCAGTGTAAATAGCCATTGGCCAATTTGTGCTGGGCGGCATCATTGTTTTAACCTTTTGCTTGGTGTTTGTTCTAATATATGCTTTGAATATGGAGAAGATCCCAAGGGAAAGTCGTGGACAGACTGCACAGAAAATTAGGAATGGCTTGGGAGTGGTGGCTGAGCATCCAGGGAGAGAATTTGAAGGGGCTTGAGTACGGACGTAATAACCATGAATGCCCAGAACCTCGCTAATTGGCAGAAAGATCAGCCTGACAGTAAACATCTGTTCTAGGACATTTGAAAAGAAATTAATTTTTGCTGTTGATGTGAGAAGGGGAATTTGTTCTGGAAGGTCTATAAACAGATAAGAATTATTTATAAGTGCTACAGTCACTGAATACAGATGTTGCTGTTGAGAGTCACAAACTCAGGCCACCGTCGCTCTGAGACAGCATGAGGTTCCCCTAGGTTTCACTCTTAATGTGCTTTCCAAACCCAGAAAGGGCAGCAGTGTGGATCTATCGAAGGTGCTTCGTGGAGTGTGAGTTAATGGGTTTTGATCTTGCGTCCATGTGGTTATCCGACACTGACTGAGTGCCCACGGGGAAGGTAGCCTTCCCAGGCAGCTAGAAGCCGGTTTGAGAACCCAGACTCTTGGGTTTGTGGGAAGGAGATGGTTAACCACCAACTCTGGTCTCCCAACTCTATTTCTGTTCGTTCAGCTTTTCAGATTTATCTGTCCCCCTGTTGGAGCCGAAGCAAAATACTGCTCATGAAAAGGGTTTTACTCATAACAGCCTGTCAGGTTGAACCCGTTGCAGCTTTGTTAACTTCAGATACATCAAATTGCTCTCTGAAATGGGTATTTGTTTTCGTTTCTTTATCTGTGAATAAAGTAGAGAAGGCTCAGGCAGTAACCGTTAATGGGAAATGAGCTTACGGAGATTTATGGAGATTTTGCCAAATGGTATTTTAATGGGAGAGGGACAGAGGCAGGGGGTAGGCACGGAGGTAGCCAGCTGCTGGACCCCAGGAAGAGGGCTGCCAAGAGGGGGCTGAAGGAGAATGTGACTGGGGCCAGCCTGAGCCCAGGCTTTCCCTCCGGAGGCCCTAGGGAGAGATGGAATGGATAGTAAATAGCTGTTTGGAGACATTGACATTTTTATGATCTGTGCAGTTCTGCTTCTGTATGAAGTTAAGGATGACAGTAGGTAGGTGGCCTTTACCTTGAGTTTAACAGTATTATTTCCTATTGGTGGGTAGAAAGATAGGGTTGGGAAGGATGGTAGGGTGTGTGTTTCCAAGGCCTCCTGTCTTTCTTTTTAATCGTATTAGTATTACAACGATACAACACAAAAATCTCATCATAAAAACTAAAAAAAGAAAGAAAAATTATGTGAAGGTCCCTTCCTGCTATAGACTTATGCCCCCTCAAATTCATATGGTGAAATCCTAACCCTCAATGTGATGGTATTAGGAGGTGGGGCCTTCCAGAGGTGATCAAGTCATGGGTGTGGTGCCCTTATGATGAGATTAGTGCCCTATAAAGAGGTCCCCAAGAGCTCCCTGTTCCTTCTGCCATGTGAGGACACACAGTGACACATGGATGCTGTCTGTGAAAAACAAACCAAACACGATTCTGCCAGCCCTTTGATATTAGCCTTCCAGCCTCCAGAACTGTGAGAAATACATTTCTGTTGTCCATAAGCCACTCGGTCTATAGTAATTTTTTAATTTAAAAAAATTTATTTATATATTTTTTTCAAAAGATTTTGTTTATTTACTTAAGAGAGAGAGAAATCAAGAGACAGAGCACAAGTGGAGCGGGAGGGGCAGAGGGAGAGGGAGAAGCAGACTCACCACTGAGCAGGGAGCCCCACGCGGGGCTCGATCCCAGCACCCAGGATCATGACCTGAGCCGAAGGCAGATGCTTAACTGACTGAGCCACCCAGGCGCTCCTGATTTTAATAGATTTTATTTTTTTTAGTAATCTCTACACCCCACATGGGGCTCGAAGCCACAACCCCAAGATCAAGAGTCGCACTCTCCACTGACTGAGCCAGCCAGGCGCCCCCTAGAGTAATTTTTTATAGCAACCCTGAAGGGACTTAAGACACTTCCATCTTCCTGTCCTGTCCCCAGACCAATCATTGTTATCAATTTAGTGGGTATCCTTCTAGATTTTTTCTCTTTTCTTTAAGGAAATGAACTATGTTGTGTCTTTTAAACACTGAAATGTAAACACTTTCCCCATTTGCTTGTATTACTCAAGCATGCTTTAAATCCAGTGTATAGTGATCCAAGCTCTTCCTCATTTCGAGCTCCTGTCTCTTGTGTGCGCACGTGCAATGGGTTTTCTTTTTTTTCTTTTAAAGATTTTATTTATTTATTTGAGAGAGAGAGAGAGAGAGCGCGCACATGAGAGGGGGAGGGTCAGAGGGAGAAGCAGACTCCCCGCTGAGCAGGGAGCCCGATGCGGGACTCGATCCCGGGACTCCAGGATCATGACCTGAGCCGAAGGCAGTCGCTTAACCAACTGAGCCACCCAGGCGCCCCAACGTGCAATGGGTTTTCATACCATCAGAACCAGTGTGTGCATCCTCTTGTGTGTTATTTTTACATTTGAAGTGACTTTTATCTACACTCATTCTAGTACTTATGCAGCGTCCTGTCCCACCACCTTACTGTATGTAGTTCGCCTGATAATTTCCCCATCATCGAGTAGTTGGATTGCACCAGGCCTTTACATATGTATCTATGTACATCTGGAAATGTAATTTTGTTTTGTGTTTTCTGAAAAACACATGGTAACATACTGTCTATGTTGTTGCTACTTGCTTTTTTCAGTTTGCTTTTTATCTTGGCAGTCTCCCCAGGAAATGTGTGCTCCCACCTTCTCCCTCCCCTCTCTTGGGATGTGACATCTTGAGGAGTCTGCCCAGGGACTGCCAGGGATAGGGGAAGGTGGTGGGTCTCGGCGATTCCGTTTGAGATCTCTCATCTGAGAGAGAGTGGCTGGTGGTCCTGCCCAGTCAGGCTCTGGGGGGCAGGGCCGATTCGCAAGTGGTGGGGGGTACTGCCTTCTCCGCTCCCTCCTTAATTTATCTGTGTCCCCAATTCTGTTGAGTTTCTTCTCTTTGTTGGCTCTGTAATGGCAAAGAAGATGCTTCTGCTGAAAACTTGAGCGAGCGGTGTGTGCCGTACTTTTAATATGCGGCCAACACTGGCTGATGTCAATGTTGGTTGGCTGGGGGGGGCGCCTGGGTGGCTCAGTTGGTTGGGCAACTGAGGGTCTGGATTTTCAGCTCCTGTTGTGGGAAGAGCTCTTCATTCTCTATCACCTGTCAGAAAGTGGG